TCTGGCTTTAAATATGTTTAAGACTGATGAATGTTTGAGAACACATTAAAAGTTTAGCTTAAAATATGGGGAGACAACAGAAACAATCAGCACAAGTTAGCGCTTTCATTGATCAACCCGAATAACGATTCCGATTTTGTTGTTTGAGTTCTCAAAACTCCATGTCTATTTCATTTTCGCAGTATAAAATTTCACTATGTTGAAGAAACTCACATGATGTTAGTAGCCTTATAGCGTTGGCGATAACTGTTGCAGCATCTCAGCACAAAAGATGACGAAAAAAATCATTCCTTCCTTCCTTCCTTCCTTCCTTCCTTCCTTCCTTCCTTCCTTCCTTCATTCATTCATTCATTTTATATTGACAATTGAAAACACCGACTCGGACTTGAAAGTGCAAGCGCTGCAATATTCCAATTTTCTACTTGTACGCGTCAGATTTATTTTCCTTTCAAAAGCTTCTGCAAACTCGCGAAACGACCAGAAGCAATAAGAAGCTATCGAAACAGATTTTGGTTGTGATTAAACATAATTTGTTCCGAGAAATAACGCGATACCAGAGCGGAGAGTTTTCTTGAATAAACCTTATTCTTAAATCAAAAGCCTGAAAAGCTTACGCGTATATACGTACAACCAGCCCGAGGAGATCTTACTCATTCACAGCGCCAAATTTGAAGTCCTGTTCTCAATCCTGAAGAACTCACCTTTTCCCATGGTCTCAGAACAAAAAAATGCACCAAAAGAAGAGTCTCTTGGAATTTCTTTAGAAATCTAAGTTCGAGTGCAAGTAAGCGGAATCTGCTCGTCTGCATTACACCTTTTTGCTCGGACCCGCTCTTTTCATCCCCTTGCGTATAAGAGCTCAGTTCTCGCGCTTCGCGTGCGCGCTCGTGTATCGCGCCAGAGCCCGCTAATCCGCCTGTTCTGCAGGCTACCGAACAAATGGTCCTTATAACACGACCAAGTCAGTTCAGAGGGTCAACAATTAATAACTAAACCAATCAGATTGCTCCATTTCCGGTCCAATATACTAAGTGCTGTCCCGAATGATCCCGTGAGATCACACTTGAAGATTTTCTAATAGTTTTATGGCTTCCGTCTCCGAAAGAACATGGTATAAATGTATTTCGTTTAGGTGTTTAATTAGGTTGCTTTGTAGTAGTTCCCACTGGGATAATCATACCTTTATATTCCACTCCCTGTGAATATCACACCACTTGACGCCGACG